GCCAAAGCACAGCGCCCTTAACGCACACTAAACCCACACTATCTCGAATACCGCTCCGAAGCGCTATTCGAGGCTTAGTGTATCCCATCATGCATCATGTTCTGGAAATAAATCGTGAGACTTTTTGCCGATATCGCACGAGAGGTAACGGAAACCTTTCCAGTGTAAGTATATTAATACAATAAATAGATATTACATATAATTTGCTAGAAAAATAAAGTGTTGCACGTTTCATTGGTGTAAAGATGAGTAGTGGTATTTATTTTGTAAACATTTGCAAATTTTTATCACTTAATTAGAAGCGCCACAAATTAAATTCTGTCATGTTATAGGGACTACTGACTGAGCAGACATTTAGAAGTTGATTTTAAAATGCAAAGTATTTAAAATTAAAATAACGCTATGTAAACACTTGCATTTTTACAACACTGTAAGTGTGTCCCATCAGGTAATGAAAAGTTCGACACACTTGTGGTCTTCATCCTCACTTGAACACTTGGGCCAAATACAGGAAATACGTCATATAAGTAGTCAAGTGGTCAAGTGCAAAGACCACAAGTGTGGGTATTTGGACAAGGCACTGGTATTGAGAGACGGCCACTACAGGAGGCGAGCGACGCGACGAGACAAAATACAATAGAACCTATTATAATCAGTGATGCTGTGGGCGCAACACTACAAATCCCGAACAGTAAACTGATGCCTCGTTCTATAACATACTGACACAAAGTACAAATGATTTGTAAGGGTCGATTTGTCGCATCTAGTGTTGACTGCCTCAAACAGTTTTTTTTTTTTTTTTTTTGGCTAGTAGAAGTTATGAATGGCCGGTAACTTAAACAATTTAGTATCCAAATTGGCTGGTGAGTGAAAAAAGGTAATTTCAAAGCCTGGTTATATAAATCAAGAAGAAGGCCAAAGCATTAAACGTGTAAAAATGAATGGTATGGTCATAGGCAAAACTGCTACTACTGTTGTCTTTATGTAAAAATCTTGCACGGCTGTTTTAAAAAAGGATGAAAACATCTGTTGTGATTTGTAGGGAATGGGTTGAAAAAAAACTTCGCAATTGTCTCGCCACCTAGCCTAATGGTGTTGTGACCTGCAGAACGGAACCAGTGAGCAAATCATTTGTGGGCTTTAAATCTATTTGATAGATGTCCGCTAATCTAAAACAAACTACATGCATCAGTTCGTGTTTGGAACATCAGAAAAGTACTGTTCGAACGGAACTTTTATTCTAATCAACTCCGGATGTTCGGACCGAACGCGCCTTGATGCCCAGATATAGGCTACTGTATTGGTACATTTTGACACACAGCCAGCATAGCACATATTAGCCACTCAAACGTTTTACTGTCGGATCCCGACTAAAATTTCACCAAAAGCACATTAATGTGCATCACGAGGTGGTCGTACTCACCCAAACCAGCTTATCAAAAGTCCTTGATAGCTGAAATGTGCATTTGGCCTCTGAGGCAGAAGTAGGAAGTTCAGCAACACTTGATACAAAGTATCACAACAACCTTTAGATGGCAACATGGGCAACTCAAAGACATCAAGCATGGCTGGATCTACGAGGCTGCTTACCTTTCCTGATTGATATCCGAGATTCAGAATCAACATCAAACAGCTGAGATCTGGGATTCAGAATCAAGTTTTCCTATTCGTTACAACTTATTTCTCCATGTTGCGCTGAAGTCAACTAATGTAAGCTGATAGAAAGTCAGTTCAAGGCAGGTTCCTTATTCAGGGTGATTGTTGCGTCTGCCAGACATGGATATACAGAAGATCCACTGGGGTTAAAAGGCAGATCGATAGATCGATCAATCGATTTTAATCGCCTGTCGCGAATGGTCACAGTAAATCATGTCGAGATCTACGCGATCGTTTGAATAGACAGCTTGACTTCCTTATTGGAAATTCCCTGTGACGTAACTTATGTTCAACATGTCTTACTCTCAAAAACGTCCTCTTGCGCCCACGCGTGGACACCGGTGTGAGAACCCACTATATTTGAATATGAAATCAAAAAGTCTAAAATGGTTTACAGGTCTCTCAGGCTGCTTTGCTAGCTGGTTCTAAAGAGGTCAGGGTAGGAGACTCTTTAAACCATCTAAGATCAGCAAACAAACAAACAAGTAAATGAATAAATAAATGGTATTTTTAGCAGCAATGACCAGTAACTATACAGTGGTGGACAGTAACGGATTATATGTGATCTGGATTGCGTAGGCTACTTAATCATAGTCCTACTTGAAATTATATTATTTTACATTTTAAAATGCGCAGTCAGATTAGTTACTTTTGACTGATTACATGTTATTCACACAATGACAGATTTGATTACATGTTATTCACACAATGACAGATTGTTCAAATTGTTCATAATTTATAGATTTTCCCTAATTAATCTTTCTGTCTTTTCAAAGCATACTGCTTTTAAGTAAGAACAGGTCAATTTTCCACAAGTCAATAATTTAACAACACATTTGCATGTTCTTAATAGTCACATCTTTTTTTTTTTTTACATTTTGATTGTCTTTATTTTACAATTATTTATTTTAGTTTTACATTTTTGTAAAATTTAGCTTCACAAACTCCAGTCTGGGAAGCCCTGACATGTCGTTTAATGCACTTCAATTTTTTTTCTTTGTATATTATAAATACACAAGCGCATATTTGTGTACTACCATCATGCCTTCTAGTATAAAGATATACCGGAAACAATTTATTTTCCCCCCTTTGGACCTGGCCACGTGTCTGTGAGATTCAACCATAAATATTAACAAGATTTAAAATATCTTAAACATAAGAATGAATGCATCAAATTAACCCCCTTTTTTAAGTAAGGGGATTAAAAAGCTCAATAAATTCTTATTGAACATGGGCACTCCTCTACATCTATCCACATATACATCAATGACGTCATTGGTAGTGAGGGGGTCTAAGCTGCTATTCACCTCACAAATGGGAGTTCCTCCTTCAGAGAACTAATTGTAGTCCAGCAGTTGTTGAGAGATCAGAGATCTAGAAACATGGGCCGAACAACTATAGTGTCAAATTCTGTCCATTCACCTAATGTTATTGTACCAGATTAATGTCTCAGACATTGAATACAGAGAATTGAATCAAGTACAATTGTGATGACAATCAAGGTTCTCAAAGCAAAAAAAAAAAAAAAAAAACCCCTCCCAATGGTACTCCAAAGGAAACTCCAAATGATAGTTTAGCAACTTTATTGAGCAAACAAAATGAACAGCTAGTAGAGCTATTAGTTGATCGGTCATCCATTGAGAGCTTCCAATCACATATATTCAGTGCAATGAGAGAACAGTGTTTAGGAGGATAGACGAACTAATAGCTCCCCATTCTAAAAACATCAAAAAGAGGAGAGAAAATGAGTAACAAAAGTTCTCAGACTCTAACAGTGGACATGTATTCGCTTAACTTTGTCTGCAGATATTCATTTTTGGCAGACCACAGACCAATTACCTTAATTGTTCCATTAACATGCAAAATATATATTTTTCGTAACTGCTGATACAATGACGTGACTGATTTGGTAAGAAACAGTCAGTTATAAGCAATAATATATTTCACAGACCATAGTTCTCATTGCTATTGGAAAAGCATATAAAAACATGAAGGCCAACCGAGCAACAGATCGACATCTCGTGGTACGCTGGCACCTTCAGAATCGTTGTTTCTTTTTCTTAAATAGCACCTCTAGCCAGTGGCATGAGTCAGAAGCATTCGATGGTTTCACCTTAGTTGTTTTTTTTCTTTTTCTTATCTCAATAAAAAAATGGCTGCGCTCGTAGTTAAAGCATGCTTCTTTGACACGAGCATTTTTCTGAACATAAAGTTGGTGATCTTTGCAATGTTGTGGTCTTTTTTACAGCATGTGAATGAAGGTTGAAGGGGGTCAAAATAACCAAGCAGAACTGCTATGGTCTGAATACACGGGGAGCTGTCAATTCATTGAGGGGAAGAAAAATTTTTTTTTTTTTTTTCCAGCTATACTGCATGTCTGATGTTCTTCAGGTATCACATGGCGTACTTTTGAGTCCATTCCCGAGCTATTCTGTTGTACCTGTGCAAGAGAAAGAGAAAGAAAGAGAAATGAAGTGTGGCATTGGTGCAAACGCTGTTGCAGAGGCAGTGTCACACATGCTGGGTAAGCGGACCATCTGCCAACTTGGCTCACACCAACATAAACGCAGAGTGCAGAAATGACTGAAGGTCAAACACAGTGGCATCCTCTTCACTTCTACACTGCAACTCTAAACATTCCTTCTGTTATTTACTTTGGTGCTGGTAAAAGCCTGAAATGTTTACCTCAACTAAACCTTCTGTCATTAATCCTATGATAAAGCTAGGGGTGTCCCCGACTAAGGATTTACATAGTCGAATCAGAATTGTCAAGTCTTGCCCATAATCAACTGATAGTTGAATCGTGTGTGTGTGTGGGATGTGGGATTTCTTTCACACACAGCACACAAAAACAACTCTCTAATAAAGCCACCAAAACTGCCTCTCGAGTGATAAACGAAACTGACAATGCCGTTTTATCTTTTTTAAGTTGAAATGAAAGGCAATGTGGATAAACATTCATAAAACGATTCCTCATAACATTTTAAAGCCACAATGCACAGAACATCACACAAAGATATAGAAGAAAATGTATAAAAAAAAATTGAATCAATAAACCTAAAAAATAACAAATAACTTCAGAAAGGCCACACTGCAGACAGGATTTGCATTTCACATGTCGGTAAATCCAATTAAATTGGCTAAATTGCCTGTGCAAGCACGCTCTAAGTACAGCGCAACATCGATGCGCTGAAAAAACAATCAAGAATTAATTTACAGAATTAAATTGGAACAGAATATGTCAGAATCAAGTCACAAGGTGCAGAACGAATGTGTACAAAATGCCTGAAGTGCAGGGGAACATATATTCAAAACACAAGCCACAAAGAGTTAAATTAGATAACCCTGAGTTATCAATAAATAAAATGAAAATAAAGAAATCTTATCCCAGACATTGTTAAAGATTTAAATCCCTGCTGCCAAGATGCTCCTCTGTTGGTCACGGATAATGGAAAGTGAAACTCAAATCTGTCACAGGGGTGGTTGGATTTATTCACGCACGTTAAAGATATTTATTATACTACTATAATAGTATAATATATACTATATTATTTACTATTCGGGGTCACCCCTGTATAAAAAAACAAAACAAAAAAAAACATAAATGGGCCATAACTGGCTGGCATGTGTGTGAGCCACTTCTTTTTTCATACACAGAATTTCTATATAATTTTTCAAGTGGACTTTTCCAGTCATGGAAATGAATTAAACCACAACCAAATTAATAATGCATAAATAAAAATGATGCAGGAAAACCACATTAGACATTTTCACCATCCTAGGCGAGTTATGAACCACACCAAATTATGCACAAACATTTCTTATTTTCCACTGCCATGCTTACTAAGAGTATATTTATTGAATAAAAATAATACAGTAAAAAAAGTAATATTGAGAAATATTATTACAATTTAAAATAACTGATTTCTAATGAATTTATTTAAAAATTGTATTTATTGACGGCAAAGCTGAATTTTCAGCAGCCATTACTCCAGTCTTCAGTGTCACATGATCCTTCAGAAATCATTTTAATATGCTGATTTGCTGCTCAAGAAACATTTCTTATTATCAATGTTGAAAACAGTTGTGCTGATAAATATTTTTGTGGAAACTGTGGTAGATTTTTTTCAACATTCTATGATGAAAAGAAAGTTCTAAAGAACAACATTTGAAATATCATTTTTCTATAAATGTCTTCTTTATCGTCACTTTTGATCAATTTAATGCATCTTTGCTGAATAAAAGTATTGAAAAAATCTTAATGAACCCAAATTTCTGAATGATTTCTGAGTGCTTGTCTACTATGTAATACAATTTTCAAAAGCTGCATCCAGTTATGAAGGCCATCAATAACATTAGCACATCCAGTAGTAGGAATGCTAACTAGTGACCAACAGTACTGCAACCTTGGTGATGTCCAGAGATTAGTAAGCCCTTTTCATGCTCACACAAAGACACTCTCCCATGATGCATTGCTCACCTTAATCCCTATAACATGGCATATTTCTCTGTCCATTCCCTGGCTAGTTTATTATACCTGAGGGGAGACATCAAACTAGCAATTCACACTACCTAAAAGGTATCTCTTATTAGGGTTGTGACGGTGAGGACATTTTCCCACCGGTTAATCGACGTGTGACAACACCGGTAATACCGGTATCACCGTGGGGGCGGGGGTGTTCCCTCTTTTCCTTCACTTTTAAATAGCGGCAATTCGGTGTAAAGCAATTGTTCGTTTGAATTTCCCCTCTTTTCCTCGCTTTCCTTTGCTTTTAAATAGCTTAAAAGCGCTGTGCGCATTTTACTTTCACTTTCGAATTATCGGCAGTTCGGCGTCAATTGCTTGAATGCAACAACAAAATACAACGTCAAACTCACTTTAGCCTATATATAAAACATAGAACTTTTATTAACAAAACAAATAAAAATACACCATGCTATAGGGCAAGCTATGCCTAATATAAAATAACAAATAACTTACATAAAGTTTAAATAGACAAAACTGGAAACAAGTAAACATGTATAATATATAACCAAATAAATAAGAAAAGTAGAACGTTTATTAGCAAAACGAGTAAGAAAGCTTGGACGCACAGCATACACCTTGATGTAAAAATAAATAAATAAATGACACAAAGTTTAAATAAAGTAAAAATCAGCAAACAATGTGGAACCAATTAAATAAGAAACAAATGTTTAAAAAAAAAAAAACCTTCCAAAATCACCTTAGATAAACGGCAAAAGTCAACAGGCTTTTCAAAATCCAAAATATTGCCAAACAGGCGCTTTTGCATCGTCTTGTCTGTCCCACCTCACCTCACTCTTCTTGTCAGTCAGCTCGACTCACTCTCCATACTGGATAAATGAAATCTGATCTGTGATGCGACTGTCACTGCATTGAGCAGCCGCTTTCAGTTTTTAATTGTAGTGTGTCTCACCCCACTCTTCTTGTCAGTCAGCTGGACTCACTCTCCTCACTGGATACATGAAATCTGATCTGTGATGCGACTGTCGCTCGGCACGCTGCATTGAGCAGCCGCGTTCAGTTTTTAATTGTAGTGTCTGTTACTTTTACTGAACTAAATTATTTTTATTACTATAAAAAATCAAAACAACGGTGGGGGTCGGTGCCGCGTTGGGCAAGTGACGTAACCGGTGTTGCGGCTTAACTGTCACCGTCAGCACCGTCTATTGCGGCAAGCCTAATCTCTATTATACAAACCAGCTAAAAAAACAATCAGCCTGGATTAAAACAGTAAAAATGTCTTTTATTAAAAATAAGCTTCTTTTTTAATATATAATTTTAAAAATTTTATTTATGAGGCTTCAGACACAAATATACTTACTTTTCATTGTCTGTTTTATAGATACGTGCTATCTCTGGCACTAATGGATCATCTGGGTTTGGATCACATAACAGTGAGCAGATGGACAATAGAACTGCAACAGAAAGAAGAGAGAGGTTGGCACATGGCATAGATAATATCAGTGTATGTCTTGGCTATCCCATAAAAACACTCTTAAGAAAAAGGTACTCTATTACAGTCAATGCTTTTGTTTTCCTATTTTTTGTTGGCTCACCTTTAGAGATAGTTAACGCAGGAGACCACTGCGACCTTAGAATATCCAAACAGATGCTGCCATTACTGTTAATATTTGGGTGATAAATTCTTGTGGTGAATGCAACCTACAAATTAGAGGGTGAAACAGACAATCAGACCACATACATTTCAAACCCACCATTGAAATTTTACTGTACATCCTTAGAATGTTCCAATGTTTCCTCTAAGCTGCACGCAAAAATGAGTTGGGAAAGCCATTTGATTGAATTCTAGTAAATACAAAATAATCGCAATGCTCGGGCAAATTGCTATAGAGTTGGTGTCACTATAGAGTTAAAACCGGTGAATGCGGTTTACAGGTTTCATAGAAAGAGAATGATGTGCGCCAAAATGAGTCACTGTAGAAATCAAATACTTTAATGGTTGCGGACTAAATAGCTCAACACAAGAACCAACGCAAATGCAATGACATGTGAAATAAACGTTGTGTTGTAAAGAGTGGTGGAAATAGTGGATGATGGGCACAGAACAGTAAAAAACGGTAAAAAACACAAAAGACATTTACAGTCACACAGGTGTAGTAGTGTGCAAAATCTACTACATAGGAATGTTCAGATAACTATATAAGAATTCACATGTTGATATTTTTTGAAAATATTTAGCTTACAGATCTCAGTTTAAATGCTTCAGTTTGTTTTCTACTCTATTCTATTCTTTTTTATCCTATTCTATCAGATTAAATGTTTCAGTTTGTTTTTATATTATATTATAATTTTTATTTTTTTTTTGTGCGCTGTACAGGAATGGTATAAAGAATGTTTTTGCTCAGACGGCCGAAATGACTGCCCATTAGAGAAAATCTCATCATCCCAGTTGAGTGTCTAGCCAGCGGCAACAATCAACTATGGCCTATCTGAAAGTCCCTCAACAGGCTACGAGTAGGCCATGGAAGATGCCTACAAACGTTACATGCTTGGGGTCTCTCACCAACCAGCAAATGCGAGTGCGGTAGCGAGCAAAATATGCAACACCTCATGCAGTGCAGCCTAGCACCGCAATGCTCAGATCATGATCTAGCAGAGCCCAGCTACCACGCCATCAGTTGTGCTACACACTGGAAAGATGTAATATAAGATCGTAGGACACGAAGAAGATTAGAGAAATGTTTTGCTCAGCAAGAAAAAACAATTAGAGGGAACATTGGTGTCGTCTGACAATAGTATGTGCTAAAAAGCTGCTGAGAATGCAAAATTTCATGAAACAATCTAAAAAAAAAACTGCTCTTTACAGCCAGATTAACCTGTTTGTTTAAATAGTTAATTATTCTTGCCTTAGGTGGTTTGAAAGGGTAGTCTGTAGGAAAATGAATGGTCAAGAAAAACACACCCCCTTGATATGGACTGTCATTCTGTAAGGAAATAAAGACTTTTAAATAAAGATAAACAGAGCAAAGTTACTTGATAGTGAATGCAGTGGTAAAATAATGCAGATATCACATGCAAATAAATGTCACAATTCATCATTAATATGCATATGCAAATAAGAACATATATCCACTTACAGGTCCCATAATTGTTGCTTGCCAGTGAAACACTGCAAATAAAGAATAAAAAAATGTCTCATTAAGGTGAGCTCTGTGACATGCTCTGAGGCAGGTAATGAAAACAAAGAGCAAAATAACTCACAGTCATCTCCAACCGGTCCTGCTGAGCACTGCGCTGGAGGGTCCCGGCCCAGATCAGTCAGTTCCTAAAGAGAGAGAGTAATGATGTATCAGTAGTACTAAACAGAAACATTCAAAAAAAATAATAATTTGGGAATCCAATCAACTATGTCATCTTTTATCCATCCATACAGCTCCTATACATTTCATTCCTGAGGTCAAAATGAAAAACTCTTCGCACTATATCATGCTATACTGTAAAACTATTTTAAAGAGATAGTTCTCCCAAAAATGAAAATTCATAATTTACTTACTCCGTTGAAGGTAGACAATGACTTCCACAATATTTTTTTCCATACTATAGAAGCCACTGTCTACTGTCAACTGTTTGATTACCAACATTTTACAAAATATCTTCTTTTGTGTTCAACAGATAAAACTCATACAGGTTTGGGGTTAAGTGATTGATTGATATATATAAAACAGGCTTCTATACAAGACACAGTACAAACATTCAGTCATCAAGGTGGGTATTGACATAGTTAAACAGCTGGTTCATAATGTTATGTAGAGAATGATTCATTTAAAAATGTAGGTTTTTACAATAAGAGCAATAAGTGAGGACATGACATCAGTTATAATGCCCCAATTTGTACTGATTGATAAACTCTTTTAATTTGCTGGGTGAGCAAATTTGACTCCAAGTACATTGTCAGTCATCGTGTCATTTAACTGGTTCTATTAAAATCCACATTTAGACACTTAAGCAGCTGAAATCTAAGACGTCTCTGTAGGAAATAGACTTGATGAGCCCTTTCATTTTAATCCAGATTTCACACTGATGTATTCCTCTCCCAGACAGATAACGCAATTTATGAACTGTCACAACTACATGGCTCTTCTGTCCCAGAGCCCCAAACTGTTGATTCTGGAGAACAATCAAAGCGGAGACTCATGTCATGTGTCATCAGGATTAGATGGGAACAGTGGACAGATTATCCTTTAATTTCACTCACTCTCACCCTCACTGATGTGAATACTGACAGCTTTCTCCACTCTGGAAAAACCACAGGCAGGAAATGACAGTACTGTCATCTTCTTAATGCAACTTTACGAAGAACATCAACAGAGGTTGATTGAGCAAAATGTTCTTTTGGTTTCCTCACAGTCACCTAAAAGCCACAAACACCAGGAAAGGATCAATTTCAGACGGTTTTGATTTTGGTGTCAGAATGAGGGTCATATTCAAAAAAGTCTATTGTGATCATCTATTTGTACCTAGTTTATAGACGTTATGGCCCAGAAATAATTCCTTTTATATAATGTACATCACAGGTCATTTTAAAGTCAAACCAATTTAAGTTATTGTGCTAACTCAGCCAAACAGCAACCAAAAGATACAGTGTGTTATCATGATTATTGGAGCCTCTAAGAGCTTGTCTGAAAGCTAGTTCACGCTGCCCAAATACATGTCTGAACTGTAGTTAGTTGTAACTTGTAAGATTTAAAATTTTGGAAAACAAAACTCAAGTTCACACTCTCGCAGCAAACTTTTTTTTTTTAAAATAACATTCAAGATTTTACTTGTTGTACAGTTGTCATCACTGTTCACCGTTAAAATCAACAAATGAAAAAGTAGTAGTTTTGGATGAAGTCTTGGTTGATGCGACCAGAGAGACAAGGAGCTTTTACTAATATTCACTTTTCTGTTTATTGGTTCTTCAATATATTCTTCAATATGATTAAAAGCATTCATGGAGGGTTTCTAAAGGGTTTCTCAAAAACAGATTCACAAGGTAACGTATTTAATATGTTTGTTTGGATGTTTTTTTTTTAATTACAGCCATTCATTAAATTTTAAATATGTAGCTAACAGTTAGACAATTAATTTATAAAGTGTTTATACTACAGTTCAAAAGTTTAGGGTCATTAAGCTTTTTTTAAAGAAATTAATACTTTTATTCAGCGTGGATGCAGTAAATTGATCGAAAGTGAAAGTAAAGACATTTAAATTGTTACAAAAGATTTCTTTTTCAAATAAATGCTGTTCTGTTGAACATCAAAGAAACCTGAAAAATGTGTTATGGTTTTCACAAAAATATTAAGTAGCACAACTGTTTTCAACATTGAAAATAATTATAGGTGTTTCTTAAGCAGCAAATCACTATATTAGAATGATTTCTGAAGGATCATGTTAAACTGAAGACTGCTGAAAATTCAGTTTTGCCATCACAGGAATAAATTAAATTTTAAAATATATTAAAATACAAAAGTTATTTTAAATTGTAAGAATCATTTCACAACATTACTGTTTTACTGTATTTTTTATAAAATAAATGCAGTCCTGGTGAGAAGAAGACACATACTTTTACAACTTAATGTTATTATTAGTGGTTTGTTTATTATTATTATTATTATTATTATTATTATTATTAATAATAATAATAATTATTATTATTATTAAATGTTATGCATATTAGCATAATGCAGATTGCTGTAGCCTAGTAATCACTATTGTGTCAAAAAACTAAAATACCAAAATAATCTTAACAATAATCTTTATCAGAATTATCTTTAAAAAAAAAAAAAACCTATAATGGCCACTCAGCTCCTATAGCACTTAACCAAGGTTTTCAGGCAGTAAGTACAGATTTCAGTGTTTGTGCTTTGGCTACATTTCTAGGTGAAATGGGTGTTCACAATAAGGTGAGTGCACAATAAGGTGCTATGGCCCAGAGTGTTCTCTTTTTAATATTTGTCCACTAGGTGGTGGTGTTCCATGGTTTTGCCTCTCTTTCAGAGCGAGCGTCAGGTACAGGTGTGGAGTGTCAGAGAGCAGTGGGTGTTCTGGACTGGGCCGCCGTTCATCTTCCCTCTCCAGCCCTGGATTGTTTTCTTTTTGTTTTCTTCTTTCTCTATACTTATACTTTATTTTTGTATTGTTTGATTTATTCTTGATTAAATGTTTATTTGTTAAACTTGGTCTTCGGTCCCCTTTTTGGTAATGTTACTTCACTCAGAGTCAGGTGGTTGTAACAAAGGTTAGCACTGGTTTAGGTAATAATGACAAATGTTGCCATAATAAACTGATCTCTAGCCACACCTAGGCATTAAGACAATAAGGAAATAACTGCCATTCTAGAGCTTTCGGTCTCTCTTTATGGGAAAATACAGTGACTATATAAACCACTTCTGAGAAAATAGCACATTTCTGAGAATTCACGTATGCAAAGTGCATACAACCTTCTGGCGGCGCTTGCCTGTGCATGTAAGCATGTTAGCAGACAGGAAATAGAGGTCAGAGGTTTCTTTGATGATGAGGGTGTCTAAGGTGGAAACATCAAAACAAACACAGGTTGACTGTTTAGTTCATAATATTGTTGACAGTAGGGCTGCACGATAAATCGCATGCGATATTTAACGCGCATCTTGTCAGTAAAGCCATTCTGTAATCAGCGGTAAATCTCCATCACGTGCGGGCTTTCACATTGAGCAGCATTAACTACACAGAGCCGTTGTTCGCTGACGAGCTGCGCAAAACCACGTTCAAAATTGAGCAGCATTAACTACACAGAGCCGTTGTTCACCGACAAGCTGCGCAAAACCACGATCATATTTTGCGCATGTTTTGCGCAGCT